ACCGCTGAAGCATACAGTCGCTGGCAGACACCATGTTTACAGCGAGACCGACCGGACGCACGGACCAAACCATTTCATCTCCATCAGAGCTGCGGCTCGCCCGAAATATGACTTCAGCGAAAACACCAGACAGAACAAAACACTGCGTTACCATAGAAACACATTCCCATCAGCAACAGCAAACTAAAATACATTTTCATGACTCCAAAACGTTAAACAATATAAAATGATGGCAGTTTGGATGAAGCTTGGCAGCCCTAAAACGTTAAAACAAAACCCAAATAAACTAAAACTAGAAAACATTGAAACAAACTACAACTAAACTAAAACTTTGATAGAGTGAATGCTAACGAAAACTAAACAAACTTGAAAAGAAAAAAGAATGAACGTTACATGCACATTTATGCATTTGGCAGCTGCTTTTTTCCTAAGGTGCAGATTCACCAGTTCATGTGTTCTCTGGGAATAGATCCCATGATGCTGCCTTTGCTTGTGTCATGCTCATGCTATTTAAGCTACAGAAATGTTAAAGGGGTCATGACATGGATTTTTTTATTTTAATATGTTCTTTGAGGTTTACTTATAATGTTAATAAAGTTTTTTTTTTATTTGCACAAAAAACAAATATGTTGAAAAATTATAATTTTCAACCCTGATTCTGACCCTCTGTCTGAAACGATCTGTTTTAAGGGGCGTGTCCTTTAAGGCTCGTCAGTAATCAGCCGCTGTTGTGATTGGCTAACGTCACTGCATAGGAAACAGTATCAACGCCCCTCGCTATTGCATGAGTGTGAACATGATCAAAATAAAGCGGTTATTTCCAGACGAAGCATTATGAAATCATTTACTTATGGTTTGTGATGCATATCTAGTTCCGTTTCATCTTTCAACAAATGATTCTTTGTGACTCTCCATGACACTGTGCCTCGATTACAAAACAAAATCCTCCGACACGATCCGAGATGCTAATAAAATAAACTATCCACTTGTTCCTTACGCTGGGATCCTTCTGATATCTGTACAAAGACGTGAACGAGCTGTTTAAGGATATTCATATCTGTAACTGTATCCAGAGTAGATGAGATAGCTGAGTGATTGTGATTTCTATTAGCTTTTGACGCGACGCAACACTCGCATTCTGCGTGATCAAGTGTTAGCCGTTAGCGAGTGAGCGCCAGTGGGCGGGGCCTATGCTGAGAAGAAGATTACTGGTCAACATCTTGCTCTGGGGGCGTGTTTATGCAAACGACTGCCTAGCTGATGCCACCTTGCCCCTCGGATCCAAAACAAGCCGTTTTCTGAGGGATATACATAAACGTTTTTTTATTGATGATGAGGACATTTTAAGTTCTAAAACTTGCATGATGTATTGAGCATACCAAGACCTCTTCTGTGTCAAACGATCAAAGGAAATTTGGTTTCTCATGTCATCACCCCTTTCAGAAAATTAAATAAAATATTAACAATATAGTAAAATGTATATATTTTTTTTTTCAAAATTCATAATTATGCATGCTACATGGGCCAGAAAGTACAGTACTCTTATTGGTAGCTGAAAGCATCTTCAAACTAGCCAAATATTAAATAAACAAGAAAGGAAGCAGAGAAGGTTCCTGATCACACAACTAGAGTCCACAGCTCTGAATCAGACTCGCCCCTCACCTGTTATTTTAAACGTGTGATCTTGCTTATACAGGTGGAAGACATGCTTTCTCTCCTCAGCCCAGCCTAACCAAACAGCACTCGGGCCGGGTTCGAGTTAACACGGGTTACCCTCCTGTAACCGTGACCCGGTTTGCCCTCGGGCTCCTGAGCTGAAACCAGAGCCGCGGGTCAGACGTGTTCAGATGCTCGGCCTCACCGCACGTATTTGTTTCTCTTGAATGTAATTCTGCGCCTGATGATTTTATCTGGGGTTTCACGCCAATTCTGACAAAGCGTTATGAGCGAAGGCCTCAGCTGCTACTGATCTCAAATAGATCAGGTTTCGGAGGTGAATTGGGGAATGTGCCACGCTGGTCTCGGGCACAGCGCTGAACTCAGAGAGCTGAACTGTTTTGACTGGCTGTCAATTATCAGTTGATTCTGGTACGAGAGGTCAGCGAGCACCGAGAGAAAAAAAGAAAGATTCTGTTTCATAACAGCCTGGAAGAGGCTAAAAACACCAACCCTGAGAGCGAACAAATATTTGAGATTAGCCGCAGCGACATCCTAGTTAGCAGATGTTTAGCAGCCAAACGCGGGCGTTATTTGTGTCGGGACCGCGAGCGGGAGAAAGAAAACACGCGTGACCTTCCTGGCGTGTGTGTAAGCGAGAGGTGTCATACAACCAGCTCACAGGTCAGAGACGCAGAACATCGTATTACAGAAAGTTTCTTATCTTAGGTCTTAAGATATGATACGTTTAATTAGGATTTTTCGCAAATTCGTATTACAGAAGCAAATCTTAACTTGATTTGGGATTCTTAGGGTTAGAGTCTTTCTACCATTAAACATTCTTAATTTTCAATTATTAATAAATGTAATGCCATTGTTGGACAGCGCAATTGTAAGCGGTTTTTCCGTTAGCTTTCAAATTATTCTAAAGTTAGGACAGCTGTGAGGTTGCCCTAAAGTCAAGAAAGTTTTTAGGATTTCAAGTTAGGAGTTTCCTGTAATACCCCTGTAGTTAAGATAGGATAACACACTTAGGAAATGCTGTTCTGTAATAGCTTTTGTACTAAATGTGGTCCTAACTGAAATTACCAAACAGATAAGATTTTAAAGTTAGGATGTTTCTGTAATAGGCCCCCTGAACCGCAGAGAAGCGATCTGAGCTCCAGCGCACGGCAGCATCAGTGACCTGCGAGAGAACCAGCGGCGTCCCTGAGCAATCTCTGCGCTTCAGTAATCAAAACAACTCACGGCCAGACATTCTCCTTCCAAACACACCATCACATCATTACACTCGACTGAGCTCTGAGGAAGAGAGATGGGGATCTTATGCTCTTCCTCACGACCTCCTCCTCTTTCTCAGGTTTGTTTCTGAGCTTCCTCAGTCGTGTGTGTCTTATAAACTGATGTGTTATTATTCACGCAGCTGCTATAAACATGTTAACAGTGTAAGGGACACGCTCACAGCAGGACAGAGGAAGAGTGTTTCTGCACAGTGTGTCCACTGGAGGGCGCTCTGGCTCGACTTACACGCTTCACACACTGGGCTGTTAAACATCATGTCCTGAACCCAGGTGAACTCTGGGTAGTGACGCTCTGGGTCTGCAGGGGAGGCAGAGATGATTCAGCCCAACATCATTCCCACAATCAGATCCAGATGCGTTTCACCTCCACACAAACCCGCGGCTGCCCCGAGACACACTCGAGAGACACGAGAAACGAGAAACGAGACGCAGAGTGTTTCCCAGGCGCAACACCGAAGTGTGTGTGTGTGTGTGTGTGTGTGTGTGTGTGTGAGTGAGTGAGTGAGTGTGTGTGTGTGTGTGTGTGTGCGTGTGTGTGAGTGGGAGTGTATGTGTGTGTGTGTGTGTGAGAGAGAGAGAGAGTGTGTGTGTTTGAGTGCTAGCATGTCAACGGCACTCGGCCATCAGACGCTCTTAGCTGCACATCAGAGAGACAGACACGCAGAGAGAGAGACAGCCACTCTCCTCCATCCTCACACAGGCCGCTGCCGTAAATATTTTTACTCTCCGTTCCATTAGTGTGTGTGAGAGGCTTTTATTGAGGCGCCGAGCACCTCCCCTCTGTAAACACTAGAGCATGATGGGAAGAGGAGAGACCAAACACACGGCACCATACACACACACACACACACACACACACACTTGACAGAGAGACAGATAGTGAGTGTGTATCACGGTTTGGTGGTCTCGTCACACCTGTCAATCTGTTTTTGTTTTTTGTTTTTTTTTTGGTTCCTCATATTGTTATTTTGTTTTCTAACATGAAGAATATTCCACGTGTGTCTCCACATCAAGAAAACTTTAGTCATCCCAGTGTGTGTGTGTTTTGTATTTGTGTGTGTGTTGTGAATTTGTGTGTGTGTGTGAGTGTATTTGTGTGTGTGTGTGTGTGTTGTATATTTGTGTGTGTGAGTGAGTGTGAGTGTGTGTTGTATATTTGTGTGTGTGTGTGAGTGAGTGTGTGTTGTATATTTGTGTGTGTGTGTGTGTGTGTGTGTGTGTTGCCTATTTGTGTGTGTGTGTGTGTGTGTGTGTTGCCGT